CATGACTGCACCAGGCACCAAGCGGCAGATCTTTGAGCCAGGACTGGGCATGGAACACTGTGACACGCTCAACGTCAGCTTGCAGATGGGCAGCAACAAGGGGGCCTCACAGAGGGGCATGACAGTGTATGGGCTGCCCCGTCAGGTGTACGATCCCAAATACTGCCTGAATCCGGAATACCCAGAGCTGGGCGAGCCCACTCACAATCACCACCCACATAACTACTATAACTCTGCATAGGGGCCCCCAGGGGGCTTGGCTGCTGCTCTTGGCTGGACCCAGCTGGCCCAGGCAACCCCATCTCCTGCATGGCGTCCCCCAGCTCCCTGGCACCTGTCTATAGGGTTACAGTTTGGGGAGATCAGGCCGAGGGGAGCGGTGGGAAGAAGGGGGCCCCTCATCCCTGTAGCTCTCACAGGGCCCAACACAGAACTGGGTGTCCCCAACAACACCCAAAGGACGTACTGAGTAAAGGTATTTCAGCTGCCCCCTTTTACTCCCTCACAAGTGAGTACCTCCCAGAACCAGAAACCCTCCAAGCGAAGCCCCCAGAACCCAGGCTTGGCCTGACCCCTGCCCCATTCCCGCAGCAGGAGCAGAATGCATGCCCGAAACGCAGCGGACACACAGTTTGGTTTTGCAGCGACTGACGTCTGTGGATGTGACAGCGGCATTTGTAACTCAAGCACTTTCTTTCTCTATTTCACTGGAGCACAATAAATGGCTGTGACATCACCGAGTCTCAGAGCCAGCTGCTCAGGAGTGTTGCTTAGATAGTCTCAGCATTCTCCCCCCCCCCACGGGATTCCAAGATACATGCACGGGCCATTGAGAGGACACATAGCTGGTAAAGGCACCCGACACCAAGCTCGATGACCTGAGTTCAGTCCTGGAGACCCACATAGTGTCAGAGAATCAGTTCCTGCAACATCCCCTCACCCCCATACACAAACCACGTGATACACATACCCTTCCCTAAATAAATGTGCAATTTAAAGATATGCCTACAGACCTTACACCACCATACAGGACAGGCACATCACGGATGTCACACACTTTAAATGACGTGGAGGGGTCCCCAGATTGTGTGCAAGTGGCATGGACTGGTACTGCTGGCCGGGTAATGGTTTGTCATGTTGTTAGAACAGTCAAGTTAACCTTGGGGCCTGACTTTCTCTATATGCCTGCCTTGGTGCTCAGCAGTTTATCTTCTTAAAACTGAACCCCATGGGCTGGCGAGGTGTCTCAGCTGGTAACGGTGTTTGCTGTCAAGAATGCAATCCCAGATCCTACACAATGGGAGGTGAGAGCCGACTCCTGTTACATTGTGTTCTGCCTCTTGTCAGAGCATGCGCACCCATCAACACCGATGAATGTCTAAAAACACAACACAACAAAACCCTGAGTCCCAGGCTGCCCACCACTCTGAAAACCTAGGCAGGACTCTGACGTCACCTTGCTCCAGCAAGGACCCCGTTCCCTGTTTCTTGAAGACCACCCTAGGTGTTCTGCCTAAAAGCCATGGTCAGTGATCAGGGCTCCAAGGAGGGAATGCAGAAAAATGGAGGGGGTCCAGAGCAGTTCCTTGACCACTCCATCACTCCAGGAGTTAAAGCTGTAACCCTTGGAGACACCAGAAACCCTCCATGCACACAGACCCTGGACCCACAAAGTGGACTTCAGACATTTGGCCCCATATTCTGGGGAGGCTGTGCTGGGGCTCTGCCTGTCGGGTGATGAGGCAGTGACACGGAGGGCTCTGGTGTCAGCTCTAGGTACCCCTTCTGAACCCTGTAAAAGCAGTCTAGAAACCTAGCCACCGCTGTTGCCCAGGAACAGGTGGGGCTCAGGCTAAGATCTGGCAGCCCGGCCTAGCAGCCACCACTTCTGGGTCAGCTTACCACCTTTCTTGGCTGCTCACCTGCTCATCCAGCAGGGCTCTACCTGTTCCTTCCTATCTACAGAAGACAGGGTTTCTCTAACAGTCCTGGCTGTCCTGGAACTCACTCTGCAGAGCAGGATGGCCTCGGAACTCAGAGATTTGCCTGTTTTCTGCCTCTTGAGTGCTGGGATTAAAGGCGTGCACTACCATGCCCAGTACCAGCAGTTTCTTTTGCGTGGTACATACAACTGTTTGTGTGGGCGTGTGCATGGTGCAGGGCAGAGGCTCCCTGAATCCAGGGCTCACTGATGCAGTTCAGCTGGCTGGCCAGAACTCCAGAGATCTGCCTGTCTCTACCACCCTGGTGCTAGGGCTAGACACGGCTTTTGCATGGTGTTAGGGACCTGAACTCAGGTCAAGTACTTTACTGACAGTCGACTATCTTCTGAGTTCTCTGTAAGTTTCTTGTACTATGGAGGAGCTTTAACCACAGCTTGCTGCCCAGGTTCATGAGGCCAAGTTGAGGTGCTGAGTCCAGGCAACTCGGTTCAGGTCTCTTGCTGCCCCTGAGAACCTCTAAGGGCACACAGTGCTCACTCTCTGCCCATCCTGTAACAGCCTCAAGCCTTCCAGAGTCCTCACCATTAACTTTCCCAGTGGCCCAAAGCACCCAGGACAGCTGAGGCCTCAGCCCAAAACCTGGACTTACAAGGAGTTAAGCCTCCTGGGTGTAGTCCCTGTGTGCATGTAGGCTGCAGGAGTTCGACTAGCCTCCCCTCTCAGGTCTGCTCGTCTCTGAGTCTGCTTCACAGGGTGGCGATCAGCACACAGCAAGAGATCCAATGTAGGTGCCAACCTTTGAGTGTCACCTCCTTTGGGTCACCTGTCAAAGTCTGTGCTTATGTGAGTATACAAGCATGGCAGAGGCTGGCCAGAAGTCAACCTCAGGCGGCGTTCCTCAGTTGCTGGTCATCTTTTCTATTTTTATTCTGGGCTCAGTGGTTGAGAGCACTTTCTTCTCTTCTAGAGGACCCAAGTTCAGTTCTCAGCACCCATGTCAAACAGCTCATGACTGTAACTCCAACTCCATGGGATCCAAAACCTTTTTCTGATCTCCAGGGACACCCAGATGTGTGCTCATGCATACACATATACAAAATAATGAAACTTAGGGCTGGAGAATTGGCTTGGCAGTAAAAGCACTCACTGCTATTCAGGAGGTCTGGGGTTTGAGTCCCAGCACACATATGGCAGCTCACAACTCTCTGTAACTCCAGTTCTAGAGGATCCAATGATCTTTTTTGGTCTCCTCAACTCTACATCTACGTGGTACACAGGCACTCATGCAAAATACTCATACACATAAAATCTTTTTAAAATGTGTAGAAAAGCCAAGCCGGGCGTTGGTGGCGCACGCCTTTAATGCCAGCACTCAGGAGGCAGAGGCAGATGGATCTCTGTGAGTTCGAGGCCAGCCTGGTCTACAGAGCGAGTTCCAGGACAGCCTCCAAAACAATACAGAGAAACCCTGTCTCAAAAAACCAAAAAAAAAAAAAAAAAAAAAATGTAGAAAAGCCAGGTAGTGGTGGTGGACACCTTTAGTCTCAGCACTTAGGAGACAGAGGAGTCAAGACCAGCTTGCTCTAGAAAGAGTTCCAGGACAGCCAAAGCTGTTACACTGAGAAACCCTGTCTCAAATCACAAAACTACGTATTTAGTGTGTAGGTGCCACAGACAGGTGTGGTCAGAGGACACTAGGGAGTCAGTGCTTTATCCGCGCGTGCCATGCGTGTGGCCATGAGAACAGAACTGAAATTATCAGACTTGCACCACAAACCCTTTGCCAGCCGAATACTTGTCAGGCAGTTTCTGTACTTTAGAACAATTCTGACATCTCTGTGTGTGTAATGTGTGCGGTGTGGGGTTGTGTGCTAAGGACACAGCTGGATGTGGAGGACAACTTCAGTAGTCAGCTCTCTCCCCCACCATGAGGGTCCTGGGGACTGACTCAGGGCATCAGGCCTGAGCGGCTTGTTTTGGTTATTGTTTGGTTTGGTTTTTGAGACCAGATCTCACTCACTATGTAGCCTTGGCTGGCCCAGAACTCAGAGCTCTTCCTCCTGAGTGCTGAAGATATGGCTCAGTGGTTCAGAGCACTCGCTGTTCTTGCAGAGGACCTGAGTTCTGTGCTTAGCATTCCCACCAGGTGACTCAGAATCCTCTAATTCTCAGCTCCAGGAGAACCAAAGCCTCTGCCTCTTCCGGCCCTCACTCACAAGCCGAGACACCTGCCCACGAGTAATCAGAGTAAAAAACAAATCTTTGAAAGTGTGTGCTACCATGCCCAGCCTAATCATGCTTTTGAGACAGGTCTCTCACTGGCCTGAACTAGCAATTAGGCTAGGCTGTCTGGTGGCAAGTCCCAGTGATCTGCTTGTGTCTGCCTCCTCAGCACTGGTAGTTCAAGTGTACACAGTCATGCCCAGCCTTTTCAGCTGGGTTCTGGGGATCAAGCCAAGGCCCTCATGTTTGTGTAGCAAGGACTTTACTGACTGAACTGTCTCCCCATCCGTCTCTATGGTTTTCACTGATTGCTGTAAACACAAAGTCAAATGTCTGTCTGCTCTACTATGCACCCAGACAGGTCCAATAAAGCAACTATGGTTATTATTTGTTTGTTTTCTGAGAGAGGATTTCTCTGTGTATACCTGGCTGTGGTGACATATACCTTTCATCCCAGCACTTGGGCCAGAGGTAAGCAGATCTTCAAGCATGAGGCCAGAAAACCCTGGGATTGATACCCACTACCAAATGAACTAGTTAGTGCAGACCTATAATTCCACCACCTGGGAGACAAAGGTGTGTGGAGGGATCAGGAATTCAAGGCCACTCTCAAGTTCATAGCAAGTTCAAAGTCAGCCTGGTATAGAATACCCCATCCCCAATCCCTACTAACCCTGCCCTCACAAAGAAGCCAATAGAAAAACCGTTTGAAAAACTGACCAAACCATACATCGTAGGGCTATTAAGATATCTTCTGAATGTCTTAGTCTCAAATCCCAGTTTCCCTTTTGGCACCTAGGTCTCATAACCCAAGAAAGGACAGATAGCCAGGGATCTGCACTGGCTGCTTTATTGACAGGCTTGTAAGTGACGACTGTCCCTGAACCAGCCCCTACCTTTTCTACAAAAGCAAAGGAAGAGGAAAATGGGTCCCCAGGCAAAGCCCAGCAAGGGACCTTGACTCCCAGGTCACAAGCACAAGGAGGTGGGAAGGACAGGAGGTCCCGGTCCCCGAGGACCATGTGTTGGTGAGGTGGCTGAGGACTGGAGGTCCCACAGCTATTCTTTGCCAGGGATGTCAGGAATCGGTCACCAGAGGAGCCAGGAACCAGCGTGGGGCAGGGGTTGGGGCTGAAGAAGGGAAGCAACTCAAAGGCTTTCAGAGTCATTTGAGGCCACCCTGGGCAGCATGATGAGACCCAGCAACCCCTCAACTCTATCTACAAGCAGTCAGGGTCACTGTTACAGCCACATCTGCAGCCCCATACACATGTACTCATTCACATCCACTCCATACAGAGGGAGGGCTGTCACAGTCCTGGACCTACAGCCGAGTCCTGGAATGTCTCTGGATTGGTACCCAGGTCGGGGACTGCTGAGGGGGCAGGTCCTTGATATTGCTACTGATTAGCTGCCTCACAGGCGTCTATCCAATCGCTGTACACATCCACTGGTTCTGACAGATCTGTAACACAGAGTCAAGGATGATTTCTGGCAATGAAGCCCTCTCCTGGGCACGTTTATGCTACGACAGGGTCAACTGGACCCCTGCCATGTGCCTTGTCACTTAGTGTTAAGCCAGTAGACAATGTAGGTAGCAGTGGCTTCAAACCTGGCCACAGGACCAGGGCAGCAGGAGTGACTGACAGTTCCTTGCCTTGGTCACCAGCCCCTGAGCAGGTAAGGACAGCCCCGACTCCCACCCACTTCTCTCACTCCCCAGAGATCAGATGACTTTCCAAGGATACATGTGATGGGTGTCTGGAACTCCTCTAGACACACGGTACAGGAGATAACTCCAGTGTTTCGAGCACGGTCCCTGCAATGGTACAAGGGGGAAGGATGCATGAGGAACGAGCGCTGAGCCCATGGGGCCACCCTGCCAGCAGGAAGGCCCAGGGTGAGCAGCAGGAGGCACAGCCTCGGATGCTCAGATGCAGGCTGGCGCACCCTAACTACGCACTTACATTTTCACATCACAGGACTTCTCATGGTTGCAGAAGGGACAAGTGAACTGGGTCTCCAGTGTGCCTGTCATCTTCTTCTTGGGGGGTGGCTTCCGTTTAGACTTCCTTCGTCCCATGGCTGCAGGGGGATGAAACCTGTGAGGCAGAGGAGGAGGGATTAGATGCTGGTAGAAGCTGGCCACTCTACCTCCATCCTCTGGAAGCAGGCTTGAGGCAACCCAGCAGTAGCCCATGGAGAAGGAAGACATACACTATGACATCCAGGCTTCTACCTACGGAACCCAGGCTCCTGACCCTCGGCACAACAGTCCCTGTGTACACTCTGGACAGTACAGCTGAGAACAGCCTTTAATATTGGTAGGTCACTTAAGACCTCCGTCCTCATCGAAGGTGGGGGTGGACAGGTGGCTTAAGAAAAAAATGGGGAGCAGGGCGTTGGTGACACACACCTTTAATCCCAGCACTCGGGAGGCAGAGGCAGGCGGCAGGCGGATCTCTGTGAGTTCGAGGCCAGCCTAGTCTACAGAGCGAGTTCCAGGACAGCCTCCAAAGCCACAGAGAAACCCTGTCTCGAAAAACCAAAAAAAAAAAAAGATGAAGTCAAGGGCAGGAAGATGGCTTAGTGGGCAAAAGTGCCAACCATGCCAGCCTGATGGCCTGAGTTCAATTCTGGAAAGCTACACAGAAGCCATGTACGGTGGTTCAGATCTGTAAGCCTGGCACTGGGATGTGGGTATGGGGGCAGAAGCAGGATTGCTTGGAAGCTTGCTGGTTAGCCAGTCAGAACAGAACAATACGGAAGTCGAGGACAGACTTCCCAAAAACTTGTCCTCTGACCTTCATATATATACAACATAGGAGTGTGTCTCCCCTGAGCCTCAATATAAAGTCACAGCAGCCCCCCCCCACACACACAAGGTTTTTCTATGTGACAGACCTGGAACTCACTCTGTAGATCAGGCTGGCCTCAAACTCACTGGGATCTGTCTGTCTGTCTGTCCATGTGCCTCCCTAATGCTGGGATTAGAGGCATGTTCCACCAACGCCCACAGGAGTTTTTTAGGAGCCTGGAGTAGGGTGGCAGTGGGTGAGACAGGGAAAACAAATCAACTGAACAGTGACAGTCTAGGGTGGCGCCCAAAGCTGTGATGGGGACACAAAAGGATGGGGGATGTGGTGGCGCATGCCTTTAATCCCACACTCAGGAGGCAGAGGCAGGCGAGACTTTGTGAGTTTGAGGCCAGCCTGGTCTGTGGAGTGACTTCTAGGACAGCCAGGGCTACAATGAAAGATACTGACAACTTCCCTGTCCCCACCAAAAAAGCAAAACCAAACCAAACATGGACTCCATTCCCAAATACAGAGGATGACTCTGAACTCCTGATCCTCCCAAGTGCTCGGACTACAGGCATGAGCTGCAGCACTCACTGCCTTCTGCTTCCTCCTCACGCTGCTTCTCTTGTGGAGCCTAAAGAAGCCCCTCCTGCCTTAAGTCCATCTTGTTAGTCTTTACCACAGCAACCCCAAAGTATCTGAGATACAAGTCTAACATACGAGGAGGTGGCTTGGAGAAATAGTAGCCTTGGTGTGAGGTATACCCAGGGGGCAGACGGCATGCTGGCAGGTGGGCAGGGAAGCAGCTGCCACTGACCTCCATCTGGGAATGCACTCAGGGTCTGCCTCTGTCGTCACTTCCGTACGCACCGCACCACGCCCACCCACTGTTTCTAGGCAAGACCCCAGCCCGCTGGGGTACCCGAGAATGGAGAGGAAAGTTACACTATTTGTCAGCCACTCACTGTAGCCCAGGCTGGTCTGGAACTCACTCTGCAACCCAGGCAGAATTCTCTGTGTAGACCAGGCCTGCCTCTGCCTGAGATGAAAGGTATGTGTCATGACACCTTTGCTCTTATTTTTAAAAGAAAAAAGGCCAACACACTGGCACAAGCCTGTGGGAGCCCAACCTACACTACAACCCCAGAACTTTGGATTACTGAAAACTGGAGGCCATCTTGGACAACAAAATAAGTTCAAAGTTCCCATCTCAAAAAAACAAAAAACAAACCAAAGAGGTACACAAAACATTTACACATGCAAGACAGTAAAATATATATTTGGTATTTGGTTTTTGGAAATAGGGTTCCTCTGTGTAGCCCTGGCTGCCCTGGAACTCAGAGATCTACCATCAGCCTGGCTCTGTCTCCTGAGTTCTGGGATTAAAGATGTGTACCACCACTGCCCGGCAGCACCCCAACCGGATGTACTCAGCTGGTAGTAATCTAGCACGTAGAAGCCACTAGGGAAATGGTTCTCAACCTGTGGGCCTCAGGGTTGCATAGTGTGTGTGTGTGTGTATTTATTTATTTATTAAGTTTTTTTGAGACAGGGTTTTTCTGTATCTGTTTTGGAACTAGCTTTGTAAACCAGGCTGGTCTAGAACTCATAGAGATGTGCCTGCCTCTGCCTCCCAAGTGCTGGGATTAAAGGTGTGTGCCACCAGTGCCCTGGTCAGATATTTACATTACAATTCATAACAGTAGAAAAATTACAGTTATGAAGTAGCAACAAAATGACACTGGGGGTCAGCACAGGAGGAGCTGTACTAAAGGGCTGCAGCACAAAAGGTCAGCACTGCCCCTCTAGGGCTGTCATGCCCAACCTGCTGCGTCTCAAGACTCAGTTAAGGGGGCTTCAGTGAGCTGCCCTGGCTCACTCAGAAACCCTAGCACCAAGGAGGTAGGAGGATTGCCACATTTTCAGCCAGCTGGAGCTACACAGTACTGCAGACCAAAACAGAACAGTAAAACCAAACCAGGCATGTTGGTTTAGCATGCAACCCCAGCACTTGGTAGTCTGAGGCAGGAAGATGTCATGAGTTGGGGGCCAGACTGTCTCACAAATCCAAAACAATGGGGCTGACCAAAGTTCCGTTCCCAGCACCCGCACGGTGGGTCACAACTGCGTAACTCTAGTTCCGGGGGATCTGACGCCCTTCCCTGGGCTCCCAGGGCACTGCACACAAGTCGAGGACAACCGTACCTGCAGGCAAGCACCCATACACACAGGGTAACGAAAATACCAAAATGTCTGTATTAGTAAACAGTTACAGATGGCAGGCCCTTAGCAGCGTCTGAGGCAGGTGTTACAAGAAAAATAAAAGGCCGGGCGGTGGTGGCGCACGCCTTTAATCCCAGCACTCGGGAGGCAGAGGCAGGCGAATCTCTGTGAGTTCGAGGCCAGGCTGGACCGACAGCCTACAAAACAATACAGAGAAACCCTGTCTCATAAAACCAAAAAAAAAAAAAAAAAAAAAAAAAAAGAAAAAAAAAGAAAAGAAAAGAAAAGAAAAAGAAAAGACCCAGAGACAGATACTGGGGTTCAATCTGAAGATCAGGGAAGCAAAGCAGCTAGCCACTAGATCTCGCCTCCAGCTCAGGCTAACAGGGCTGATCCAAACACGAGCTCTTCACCGAGTCTCAAGCTGCTGCCTCTCCTCAGTGTGGCTGGAGAATGAACGCCTCTCTGGGACCTTGCTTCTGGTTTATGGCACGGCTCTGAGCCCATGCTGACACTTGTCTACACGGTTATGGCTGTTTCCCCTACGAGGTCTGGCCCCGGCAACCAGCTACACAACAGAATCACAGATCTTGGTCGACCCCGTCTCCGCTGGTACAGGTACTGCTGCCAGGCCCGGCAAGCTGAATTTGGTCCCCAGAGCCCGCGTGGAAGGAGAGAACGCGCTCCGCAAGTTCTCCACTAACCTCTGTACACAGACACATTATACACATAAAGATTTCTAAAACTTTCGAAACTGGGCAAGCAAGATGGCTCAGCAGCTAAAGACGCTGGCTGCCAAGCCTGACAGCCTGAGCTCAATTCCCGGGACCCTCAACGGAGAAAGAACCGGCTGCTGCAAGCTGTCCTCTGCACACTCACGTACCACATCCAAAAAAACTAGCTTACGATCATCTTAAACTCCTTCAAGGTCCTCCAGCGTCCACCACCCTGGCCATCCATCTCCGAGGAAGGGTTTCTCTCGGCCACTGCCCAATGCCCAGCATCCACAGCGCCTGCTGCACCCCAAGCTCTTAACCACTTATTGAACGAATCGGGGAAATCTGTGGCCCCAGATCCCACCGGCAAACGGCAGCCCGCGAACGAACCGCGTTGTCCCGGAGCGGCCGGGGTGACGGGAACGGGTCGCGGCGGAGGAGCGACGCCGTCAGCCTCACCCAGGCTTCGGGGGCGCCGCCCGCTCGTCCAGCTGCAGGGGTCCGGCTCCTCACACGGCGGTCCTCAGAGCCATGCCCGGGCCTCGGCTCCACGCCGGGCGGGTGAGCGAGAGAAGAGCGCCCGGTCCCGCTCGGCCCAACGCCCGCGCGCGAGACGCCCCGCACCTACCTGTACCAGTCCCGCCGGCCGCGCAGCCAAAGCCGCTTCACCCGGGAGACGCTAACTTCCGGCTCCTGACGGAAGCGGAAATACCGCTTTGGTTTCCCGCCTACTCCGAAACCAGGGTCGTGTAGACCCCGCCTCCTTCAACTGCCTGTCTCTGCGCATGAGTGACGTCTGTTACCGCGCATGCGCTCCCACGGACTCCCGGCAAGCTCCCTACGGTGGGTGACAGTTTGCGACGAGTGCTGTGTCCAGCTGTAGCACCCTGGCTAAGATCCTCGCCTGTGACCACCATCTTCCTGGTCTCCTCTCACTTGTCCCCAGTTCAGCCCCCCGCGCTGGAAGCGCACCTGAGTTTTCCCAACCTCCAGGCTCACTCAAATATCCTAGCCCTAGAGAAAATAGTTGGGAAGAGGAAAACTCATGTCAGCGGGAGTGAGAGACACGAGAAGGGGCAAGGGGGTAAATATGGTCAAAAGTACATTGTAAACATACATGAAGATGGCATAGGAAAATACATTATGTAAGATTAATATTTGCTAATGCAAAACACAAAATGCTCCAATCCTGACCCGATCGCTTGTAATCCCAGCACTGAGGAGGTGGAGATAGAGTTGGAAATTCAAGGTCGCATCGGGAGGTGGTGTCAGCGCAAGTCTTCAGTCCCAGCACTCGGGAGGCAGAGGCAGGTGCATCTCTGTGAGTTCGAGACCAGTCTGGTCTACAAAGTGAGTTCCAGGCCAGCTTCCAAAGCCACAGAGAAACCCTGTCTCGAAAAAAACCCAAAACGAACAAACAAAGAGTAGATTACAAGCCTTCTCTGCAACAGAGAGAGGCATGTGGGGCTCAGGACATTTGATGGTGGTAGAAGTTGCCAGATGGCCGGGCGTTGGTGGTGCACGCCTTTAATCCCAGCACTCAGGAGGCACAGGCAGGCGGATCTCTGTGAGTTCGAGGCCAGCCTGGTCTACAGAGCGAGTTCCAGGACAGCCTCCAAAACTACACAGAGAAACCCTGTCTCGAAAAAGCAAAAAAAAAAAAAAAAAAAAGAAGAAGTTGCCAGATGATCTGAGAAGATAGAGGATGTAACGGGCATTATGCTGGCCTGCCCCTGTCACCTGGCAGAATGCACTCAGGCAGCACCCTGGTCAGCCCAGGGCTCCATGACTGCTAGTGTGCACGCAGGTGCAAGGGACCCCTATAAAAGACCCTTACCATCTCCTTGCCACTGTTCTCCTGGGGCAGAAGGACTTCTCCTGTCTCCCTCTTCTCTTCTGTCCTCTCTCTGACTCTGTGTCTCTTTACCCCTTTTCTCCCTCCCCACCATTCTAACGAAACGTCTCACTAAGCTCTGTCGACCTGGTGTGTTTGTCCCCTGCCTTGGTATGGAATCTGCCAAGATTCCCCTGGCTTTATCATAACAGAGGAGGCTTGGGGGCGGGTAGGCTGCTGCTCAAGTTGAAAGAGGGACCTCCGGAAGAACTCAATAGACAGAGGAGTCAGAGAGGAGGGCTGTCTTTGGCAGAGCTCCTGGGTGCTGCCTCTCGGAGAAGGAAGGCTGAGGAGCCCCTTAGGAAAGGAATCAAGGATTGAGCTTGGGCTGTAAGGAGCATGGGATGGAGGCTAAGGAGATGACTCAGCAGGTAAAACACTTGCAGGGTGAGTTTGGAGACTGGAGCATCTGCATACATGCCAGATGGGTGTGGTTCCCCACCTGTAATCCTGAGCCTGCAGGAGGTGGAGACAGGATCCCCAGAGCAAGCTGGCTAGCTAGATGAGGTGAGCTCTGGGTTCAAGAGAGACCCTGCCTCTATAATAAAGGTGGAGAGCAGTTAAAGAAGGCTCTCTGGTCTCCACATGTGGACCCTCATAAACATATGTGGTGAACCGTCCTCCTCCTCCTCCTCCTCCTTTTTTTCTTAATTAAAGGCTACTGTCCAGCAAGATGGCTCAGCAGGTAAAGGCACTTCAAGCCGTCAGCCTGAGTTTGATTCCTGGAAGCTACATGGTGGAGGGCCGGAACTGGTTCCTCCAAGTAGTACACCACACACACACACACACACACACACACACACACACACACACACACGCGCGCGCGCGCGCGCGCGCACGCACGCACGCACGCACGCACGCACGCATGCACACGAGGGGGAGTACATGCTTAGCTGTACCACATCTTGTTCATGCTTTGAATGGAATGAAGTACAAGTGCTAACTGTTGAGTTTGGTAAGTGCTTGTCCCTGGGGACCTTAACAAGAGTTACTTCTTTCGTGCTTTTCCAGAAACAACTTGAGGTATTTATTTAGAGCAGATGGATCTCCAAGATGTCCTATAGGGGGCAGTGTCATCCTTGGAGCTGACTTCCCTGAAGACAGTTTCCCAGTGTTGGCAGCTCCAGTTCACATGGGATGGGAAGACAAGTGTGATGATTTGGGCCTAAAATCCCAGCACTCAGAAGGCAGAGACAAGATCTTTGCTAGTTCTAGGCCAGCCTTGGCTATATGATGAATTCAAGCTAACCTGGGCTACTTTGTGAGACCTCGGTTCATACACACGCACAAATATGAAACCACAAAGCACAGAGGGTAAGATCTGTCTGTACACATCATGCATGTTACCCTGTGGCATGCTGTCTTATTTCCACTAATGGTCAAGGCACAGATGCAAAACTCTTGTTTTCAGTAGTTGTCCTTGTTAGTTTTTCTTTTCACCTTGATATGAACTAGAATCAGGCTTTCAGTGTGATCTAGATCATCTGGGAGATGAGCCTCCGGGCAGATCAGGAAGAATTGTCTATTTAAGGTAATGGGAGTGGGCAGCACCCTTTCCTGGGCTGCAGTCCCAGACTGAATAAAAAAAGAAAAAGCCAGCGGGGTGTTGGTGGCCCACACCTTTAATCCCAGCAGAGGCAGGAGGATCTCTGTGAGTTCGAGGCCAGCCTGGGCTACAGAGCGAATTCCAGGACAGCCTCCAAAGCAATACAGAGAAACCCTGTCTTGAAAAACCAAAAAAAAAAAAAAAAAAAAGGAAAGGAAAAGGAAAAGGAAAAGCTGGCTGAGCACCAGTGCTCATCTCTCTCTGCTTCCTGACTGCAGATGAATGTGACAGCTGCCTTGAGCTCCTGCTACCATGACTTCCCTGTCACCATGGACTGTACCCTTGCCTTGGGAGCCAGAAGAAACCTTTCCTCTCTGAAATTGCTTTAAGCAAGACAGTTTATCACATCGGCAAAAAAAGAAATGCATATAGCGTGGACCGAGGGGGCTGGCCACGGGTCCAGCATCACAATCCTTGTGGTAAGAAGGTGTCAAAAGCTCAGCATGGTTGAAAACACCTGTAATCCCAGCTCAGGAGGCTGAGACAGGAGGATCACCTTGAGTCAGAGGCCCCGTCAAATAAGATCATAGAGTTAAAATGAAGCAGGGCGGTGTCTTAGTCTAACTTGGTGCTTTAGCCTGCCATCCTAGCTGTGCAGATACTGAAGTGAGGGGGCAGGGCTCAGTAGTTACAGGCCAGCCTGGGCAACTCAGGCGCTGCCACCAAATAAAAAATCGAAGCCAGGTGTGGTTATTCACTCCCTTAATCTCATCCTCAGACTGTGGGAGCAGGAGTGTAGCACCAATAATATAACCCAGAGACAGATAGTAGGAGTAAAGCTGAATATCAGAAAAGCAGAGCGGCCAGCTACTAGAGAGTTCTCACCTCTCCAGACCACTGCTCCTCATGTTCACTGAGACTGCCTAGACTGCAGTGGTCCCCACCAAAAATCCCGATTGCTCCTGAGACTGCACTGAGCTCCTTATATACTCTCCAGCATTGGGATTAAAGGCAGGAGCTCTGTTTCTCTCTTAGACTGATTCACTCTGATGTCTTCCTGGGTGGCCTTGAACTCACCGAGATTCATGTGCTTCTGCCTCCTGAGTCCTGGGATTAAAGGTGTGGCTACCACTGCCTGGCAGTACTAAATAAACTGAGCGTGGCAGCACCCAGGAGGCAGAGGCAGGTGGAGCTCTGTGAGTTTCAGGCCTGTCTGCTAGTCTATATAGTGAGTCTCTATCTAAGAAAACAAATGAGGGAGTGTGTATTGTTTGGTTCAGTGCTCACCCAGGAAGCAGAGGCAGGTGGAGCTCTGTGAGTTTCAGGCCTGTCTGCTAGTCTATATAGTGAGTCTCTATCTAAGAAAACAAATGAGGGAGTGTGTATTGTTTGGTTCAGTGCTCACCTGGCTTGCACAAGGCCCTGGGTTTCTCAGATGATCAACAAGTGTAGCTGTTGTTGGACAGAAGCCTGATCTGCAGGGCACTGCCCAGCTTCCTGTGTCCTTCTCCAGGTCTGAGACATCTTTATGGCATTTGGTGCTTAGTGGAGGAGGGAGCTTGGTTTGCAGTCCCTTGGCATTGTCACTCATTCTCCATGTGACATTTAATTTGTCACTTCTCTTTTCTGGACCCTGGGAACAGAGACACTGGGTGAAGCTGACTGCTGATTCAGAGTTCTGACCACTAGGAGCCCCTGAGTCAGTGGGAAGAAGCCGGTGGTGGCGAACTTCAACATGGTTGAGGTTAATCCTGAGACCTGAGCTGTAATCATGCTGGTTGGCAACCTGACCATGCTGGGTAGTATTTTTGTCAATTTGACACAAACTAGGGTCATCTGGGAGAGGGAGCCTCAACTGAGAAAATGCCTGCAGCAGACTGACCTGTAGGCAAGCCTGGCTGGCATTTCTTGATTAATGACTGACGTGGGGAGCCCAGCCCACTGTGGGTGGTACCACCTCTGGGCAGGTGGCCCTAGGGGTATGAGAAAGCCATGGGGAGCGAGCCAGTTTGCAGCCCTGCTTCATGGTTCCTTCCGTGATGGGCTGTGATCCGGATGTGTTAGGCAAATTAACCTGTCCTCCCAGGCTGCTTTCCATCAGAGTGGTTTATCACCCCAGTAGAGACAAGTCAGGACAGACTCGGTGCAGAGTGTCATGGGTCAGGGCAGAAGTGATCTCGTC